CATTTGTTGATTGACATGGATTGGAGTTGATGAAGTGAATCTTGGTGACTGTATCGTTGTTTCGTCAATGGTTTGGCAACCGCAGTCAGTCGCACCCTAAATGTAGTCGCTCCAGTCCTGGCTTAATAACAGGTGGAACTGAATGAGACAGAACCAAGTCGATTCGGTTGACGAGAAAAGGTTTTGTCGAAGTTCAAAGTTGATAGGCGCTGTCAGATTACACGTATTGCTGCATAAATAAAACCCGTAATTAATATAACCTTATGGTAGTGGACAATTTTTCACACACTCACGGTTAGCAAGGACACTGGGTGAACCAGTGTAGTAGTGTACACTGTGAGGACTAACAAACAACTGTAGCAATCTTCGTTCACAATTGGTAGAATGATTCGACAGAAACGAATATCAACACTTTCTATGATGATTCTGTTCATTAGAAAAACAGTTACGTGCTAGTTGTCACAGTCAGATAATTCAATACAGAGTCAGTGTACGATGTACTATTCATCTTCTTGGAAGCCGCAGTTCAAGTGAAACTGGATAAGTTACATGGTATAAAAGGGAAACCAGAGATGGTCTCAGTGGATCGTGTGTTGAAAAAATCTGGCACTCCGTGCATATCACGGCAATCTGGTAGACCTTCCCGCCCTCAAATGATTTAATTCATTTTTTTTCTAATGGTCCCGAAAACCCCATTTATTTGTCCTATAAACCAAACAGTTTCACTTGGGATCCAATCGATTCTGCGGTTCATTATGCAATCAGATCTGTCGGTGCATCAGAATCTAGTTAACTTCGGATATACTGTGCTATCGATATCATACTGTCATACAGAACGCGCTACTTAAATTAAAACATTCCGTTACCGTAATATTTTCCACGGGACCCCCGTAAATTTAGAGTATCAAGCTCGGATGAGCCCATTCGATTGTTCAGAGGCACCAGGCACTCTTGATTGTTCTCGGTGTGGGTTTCACTCTTTGGGAGATCGTTAATTCTCCACTGTTTGTATGCATTTGAATGCGATGCAACAAAGAGTACTGGACAGCTGTTTCGTCGTCCTGTTTGGGACTCGTCAGCAGTGCGTACTTTTTGTGTCCCTGTCAGGACTCGAACCGCGATCAGTCGGGTCGGGACTTCAAACCCTTGCCCCTGAGCTACACGGCCGACGGTTATCACCTTATGCGAATGGCTCAATCAATTTAGAGTATGAAGCTTGGATTAGCTCATTCGATTGTTCAGAGGCATCAGGCACCCTTGGTGGTGTCTCTGGACAATGTCGCAAGCAGAAACAAGAGAGAAGATAGAGAATTTACATGGACTAAGGTTGCAAGGACAAGGATTAGGTACACGAGCGACACTGTTTGCCACACTCAGCCATATCACCCGGTGTCTCTAATCATCGGTTACGATGCATACCCTCATGCCATCCATTTCTTAGTTTAACCATCCAATACTTTTTTTCCAGCCAACACTTGCCTCGGCAAACAGCGCGCATTGCTGCAACCCAATTTGGTGACATGCGCGGCATATGCCCCAAACAAGGCAGTCTATGGAAGTTGACCGCTTACTCCAGTGGACGACCGCAATTATCTAAAACTCTGCGCCTAACCTCGGCATTCAGTACTCGTCCGGGCTACCCGACCAAATTCGTCTAATACGATGTAGACAACAGCGGTGTTCGAACATCGACAGTCGATCTTTATCCTGTTCCCTTAATGGCCAAGTTTCTGCGATGAATGGTAGAACTGGCGGAACTGCTGCAGTAGTAACAATGAAATGGCGTAGTCAAACTGTACAGGCAATCCGTAGAAAATATTACGATAACAGATTGGATTACGGTGAGGTAACTGGTCAGTAAACAAAGCGTTTCTCAGAAGGTAACTATTACGAGTTATTTGACAGAGCAGAACAAATTAAAGCAGTTCGAGCAGATCGTATCACGCATCGAAAAGGAATGTGTATTTTAATTTTTTTCCAATATTTGAGAAACTTCGGTAGTTCGTCCCTGGCAGAGATTGCATTGTGGTTAAAACAAGCCACCTAGTTAGATAGGATTGTCGGCAATGAAATATGCTTAAAATAAATAAACAATAAACTTCTTTTTACTTCCTTTTTTATTTATTGAATATACAAACATATTGTCAACTTTCAGGAAGGGGGCCTCGGCCATATGACTGCTGCCGGGAAAAATGCAGAAATGAGGAAGATGGACTGTGGGGTGAATTGGTTGGAACCCGGAATTTCCCTGTAGCTATCTTGATGACCTTGACCACTTGTCCACCTCCGCTTCGTTCTCAACTCAAAGTTATGGTTTGTCAAAGCACAACTGAAAAGTTATAGTTCATTTCGAATAACCATGTAGCTATAACTGGTACTGGTCTCTGTCACAGGGGTGTGCTTGCGACTCACAAGCTGTAGTGTGCAGTAAGCAGTGGTGCATTACCCTTTGTGCTCCTCGAGTTGGGTCCAGTTTAGCGAAAATCGCACGACTCCATCGACCCACAGAAGCAACGTCCTTCAGCGAGCTTGACAAGATGCAACAATGTGGTCGATTTGAGTTCAACACGAAAAGAATGACAGGTGGTTAGTCTGGGGGGTAGAAGCAAAGTGTGATCAATTGACTAATGAGTTGCGTTAAACGAAAGCGGATCCAACCACAGCGTTTCTCTCTCAATTCAAAGCAACAGTTGATCGACAAATTTAGCTAAATGCTCTCTCCTCGGGTGGAGTTCAACATTCTACGATTGAATTCTTGGCCAACTACTTCTACAACCGTCAGTAGTTCACACGGTACAAAGGTCGTACATCTTCAATGCTGCCCTTCTCACAAAGCGTACTGCAAGGCGCTATTTTATACTCTTGTCTATTTTCTGCCCACATTTCCTCTATGTCTGTGAGCAATTTTTCTCTTCTTCTTTTCTTCTCTATGGAATGCCCTTCTCCAACCCATCATTTCAAACCACTCTGCAAGAAAACATATCAGAAATGGTTGAGCGGTCTCAACAAAGGAACCTCCACATGACCCCCCAAAAATGCAATGACATGTTTTTTTCCTTTTTGAAAAGGCGAAAGTATGATGCATTGTGAAATACCAGCCCACCTTTATCTATCCTCAGTGACCAGATGGAGCGACAATCGTTTGCCAAATACCTTGGTGTTATTTTCAACCGTAACCTCTCCTGGTCTGACCACGTTAATGACGTTTTCTGAAGGTCGGGAGGATCATGTTTTATGTTTTGTGTGTTAAATCACTTTTACGTCCCATAAGATGTTTCGTTTTTGCTTGAATTTTGCCCCACTGGCTTTATGGATCCCCTGTTATCTTCCCTGGACTTTTTAACAAGAACCTCAAAGACCTCATTTCGCCATCCCTCAAATTTCTG